AAAAAAAAAAATTTACGTTTCTAATTATTATTAATGTAAATACAATTTTAACAGTATTCATTATTTATGCATGCTAAGATAAATATTATTCTTTGGCSGCAATTATAAATTGTTATTGATTTGAAATTACATTAATAATTCTTCTTACTTAGGATCAAAGGCTACATCATCTGTCATCATTACAATTATACGGTCAACTGGTATACCATTATTCAACAATGTTTGGTATGCATGTGAAACATCAGCCTAAAAACTAGTGCTACAATTAGTTTAATAATTTTTCATATTATTAAAATAATAAAAAATGTATATTTGTGCACTTTTGGCTTTTTATAATCAACATTTTTATACCTGATGTCTATAATTATCCCAGCCTTTTGAACCAGCAACCAGAAACGCCCAGGTTTGTTTTTTGGGACCACCAACAAGTTCCAAACATTCATCGATAAAATTACTTGGGCCAACAATAATTACTTTTACTATAGCAAATATTACTACCACACACAGTATACTTAACAAACAGTAAATCCATGCACTTTCTATAAATGTTACACAATTAATTTTGATTAATGAATTATAAACGGTATAGAAAATATATTATTTCCTTACTTTTTTTAAAGAGGTTGTTGATCAACATTTTTGTTAAAAACGTGCTATATATTATTTAACTAATGATTTAAGTAACTAATACCTATCYCTTAAAATATTTAACTACTACGCTATTACAAAATTACTACAGCCATTTAGCAGGTATACGTTTATAAAGATACCTCTACATAATTGAAGATAAAACATTTTAAGTGCCTCTTGACATTTTATTATGACATAATTTTTTAAAACCTCTTCCATATCTATTATGATGTTTACCCATCTTATCGTAGGTTCCTATAAAAAATTATTTGCTAAATATTTATTTATATAACTAACTTATTTATACAGTTTTGTTTACCGTATTATTCAATATTCATACGCAGTTTGTAGCCTTGTCAAATAAACCAAGGTACTAAACATTAGACATTAGCCAACTTAAGGGGGATTGAGCTTGGCATGTTTTAATGAGTAATATTTAGACATTTCTTATAGCATATATATTTGAGTTGTGTCTCTGTGTGAGAAGTAAATGAATGTTGGTATGTGTAATTCATAAGATTTGKTATCAAGTGGGCACCGACGGCTTACTGCTCAGATTTGAATTTCCGTACGCTCAGCCACATGTCAATGTTTTATCAAATATGCCATGCCATTATGCTACTCAAATGATAAAAATGCCAAAAACCTGGAAAAAAAATGAGGGACATGGATTTGACTGATTTTAATTTTGAAAATGGACACTAATTAGTCATTATGTTAGTTAGGGAAAAGGGAATGGCAGAGCATATTATTAATTTATTCAAATTTATCAMTATAATATCGATAGCCTGATACAGTGGTTTTCAGAATGTGTGCCGCAAGTATCCACTAAGTGTGGCGTGGTTTTTCCATAAATTATCGATTGTATTGAATTGCGGAATCTAGGAAAAAAAATCCCCGTAATAAAAACCCCCGGTAAATAAATCCCAAAAGATATACCTAACTGTTCTAAAATAATAATTAATAATAATATAAAATAATTTTAAAAAAAATATAAAATTTGAATGATAACTATTATAATATTATCTTGATCACACAGCTAGATTACGCAAAAATTAAAAATAATTATGATAATAATGAACAATAGTAAATACATTGCGCATTTGCGCATAAAATAAAAATAATATCTATATACGTATATAATAAAAAGTTAATCAGTTCTCTTGCGTATGTTATTACTCACAGCTGTCAAAAATTCCTCAATAGTTATACCTAACTGTAACATAGGATGTACAATTATATTATATAAGTAAACTTTCCAAACTCGACAAAGCAAGCTTTGGGGATTTTTTTCCGGGGGTATTTTTTCCTGTGGATTTTTTTCCGAGTACCGAATTGCGATATAAGAAAATAAATGCTTTCAATAATAATAACTACAAAAGCACTGACTTCTATTGCTGTTCTCAACCTCATATCTTTGTGAACAAGGGGTTTCAGCACTTACGAATATAAAATATAAAAAACGAGAAAAACTAAATTCAGTGGAGGAAGAAATATGGGTATAAGTCTGTCAACTATTCRTTCAAGAATTAAAAATATTTGTAATGTCCATCAGGCACACATTTCTCATTAAATATACCTATGTATAAACTACACTTTTTTTTGTATAAATAAATTAAGTAACTAATTACTAATACAATGTAATTATAATTAATATATATTTGTTAGCCCATCAATCACACATTACGTATTAATGATTTAAAAATATATACTTACATGCCAAATGGTCTACAATCGTCCAGAAAGAAGTATATTTAATTTTTAATTTTAATTTATCAATTTTAGTTTTTATTTATCTTACATTCCGTTGGTATATCTTATTGACAAAAACTGCGCGTTTTGTGCATTATTATCACATATTTTATATTTATATGTACTATGCACATTATACAGATAGGTAAATTATATCATAGACTTATTTGAAAATATAAATCACTAATCAGAAGTACCTATTTCCGGAGTTCGCCGTAGTTAGTAGTAAAAAAAAGTAGATAGACTTTATCAGAAGTTTAATCCAGGTTTAGTAGATTCATACCTGCAGCTTAGAATTTATTATTAATAGATTTAAGAGTTTAAGACTATAACTTATAAGTACCAAATTGACTTTTATACACTTAAAGCAAACCATATTTTACAGACTACAGTCAAAATTCTTCAAGGATCCAAACTAAAAATAACTCAACCATATATAAGCTAGTAAATTATTTTTCTGTTTAGAGAAAACTACCGGAGACAAAAAAAAATTCAAGTTTCAATATACCCTATTGGCTTTTAGGGACGTACCCACTGTTTAGTTTTCTATTAATCACGCAATGTTACAATTATTAATTTAAAGTTTAGTAAATTAAATAAAACCTTCAGATGGTTAGTGCTATTGAATTGAATGGTACTTTACCTAAAAATTCTGCGAAAAAATTCCTATGGAATAATAATCTACTAATAAAATAAAAAATAACATTTGTACCTACTACACACGCAACACACCAAATACTCAGTAAAAATGCTGTTAGGAACCCCTACTAATTATGTAATGCTATATTATTGCTATTCAATGTAGTTTACTAGTTTATTCAGCATTCTCCATTATGTCTCTATTATAATTTCGTTTGATATAGCTCCACGACTTATCGCCCAACGAGAACGGGAATGTGCTGACACAACTACACAAGTAGGTATACTACATAACCCTTTTGATCTATACACGCAGAGTCCGCAGAYGAGCAATTGTGTGGGTGTGTGTCTATTCATTATCAATTAGCCAAAACATCATAGGTATTATCATTGGTAAAATTTCTGACATTTTTCTTAAATAAAAGCGTCCAAAAAAGGTATTTTTTTTTWAAATAATATTATATTTTATATAAATAATATTTGAAAAAAATATATTTCTTTCACATAACCTTTTATACTTGTATGAAGTAAGTTGGTTCACTGTGTACCTTAGACCTCAACACTCAATAATTATCGAACTCCGTATAACTACGATACWGTCAAATAGTTGGATAGAATATAATTTATATAGCTTGTGAGTATTATTATTTGTGTTTACCTAATCTATAATAAAACTTAATGTTAACTGAAACGGAATCCTAGTTATTTAAATATATTTAAGATCCTGTTATATATATATATCTACCCCTGGCTACGGTAATTATATCTCTAGAGTCCTACGACTCTCACTGGATATCTTATATTTAACTGGTCGTTCCCCCGACCACGTTACATATAATATTATACTATATAATAATTAAATAATGATTTGAAAAAAAAACCAAAATAAAAATAGTAAATCGTAAAATACACAGTGTTTTGCGATTTCAAGTAAAATATAAATAGCAAAAGATAAAATCGATAATGCATTATCGTCTCTAGACTAGGCCGTTTCTCTTTAAGCGTCCGGAAAATACGTCAATACCACACACGTTTCTCAGTTGCAGTTTAATTGCCGATGAAACGTAGTGTGATCCTAGTGTAATCGTGTAGCTCGTCAATAACGTATAAATATAAAATAAGGAAGAAAATATAACTGCGGACTGACAAGACTGGTCAAAATAATGGACAGTACTTAAATTGTACATTTTTTCATATACCTACTTAAATTGTGATTTTTTAATAAAATATTAAATATAATATACTAAAATGTATGCTTTTGGTGTTATACCTGGTGGCCCTTGCCTTGGGAGATTTCTGGCTTCGCCACTGACGCACCTATATTTTTGCATAACACTGCATGGAGCCAAAAAATGAAAAATATGCACGAAAAAATTGTAAAATACGAGAATGCATGTAAAATATGCTAAAAAAATTTATAAATTTAATCAAAATTCCAAAAAAAATTATGTTGTTGCACCAAAACAAAATAATGTAAAATATGGAAAAATAAATTTATAATTTATTTCAAATATGGTAGAAAACTGCAGATTTTAACATTTTATTGAACTKGAAAAATAGTTGAAAAATATATTCAAAAAGATATTACATTAGAATTTAGAATACCTATTAGCGCGATAGAGATTAAAATATGCACATTGAACTGTTGTCGTCATATTAAATAGTCGACTGTTATGATAAATGATATAATAATAAATATCTCCAATAAATAATATTGATTGTTTTATATTCAATGTTATTATTAAAGTACAGTAGTACACAGTGAAAGACAGAAAAGATCAATTTTTTATTAGCAAACATATCATAGTGATGGGTGCCATAGGCGAAACTAGACACTTTTATTAGGTCAGGTCAAATGAAAAATAAAACAAATACTTAATAATATATAAAAGGATATTTTTTTGCAATTTAAATATTTAATAATAAAAAAAATATATATAATAATTAATTCATTTATAATAATAGAAGACGATTAAATGGTACATATTTTTTTAATTCTTCAATTGAATTCTCAACATCAACGTTATTAGCCAAAGACTGATAATGGTGATGGATTTTTTTGTATCTAAAAAAATAATCACTGACGAAAATAATATTGAACAAAATTAATTCCTAGTTTAGTCACGCACGGTCTTTTTAGGACTAAAAATACCTATAAATGCAACAAACAATAGATAATTGTTTTGAATAGCATTAAATGATAACTTGACTTGGACATTAAAGGTACCTAAGAACATGAAATAATGTAAATTACTTACAATGAATGATTTGAAAAATTATAAATGACCGGTCTTTTAGACAGCGATGCGACTAACGGGGGTCAATAAATGGTTTAGTGATGTATAGTGTACCTATACTAATATGCATGATAATAATAATTGATATGGTATTACATTTTAAATAACAATTACAATATTTGACTTGTCCTTTATA